ATGTTTTTAGGTAAGATCCTTTTCCCTTGCCCTTCTCCTTGTATATCTCTGGATAAACTTCTGCCGTCTCCATCCCCTTGCCTGACTTACTCTTATTTCTTTGCCCTCAGCTCCTTCCCCCTACCTCAGTTTAATTTCACCTGCATCTATTCTTATAGTTTTTTTTCACTGTCTTTTTACAGCTCCAGGTCTGTTCCATGTTTCCAGCTTTTATTATTCTCCTGAATTTCAGATTTAAATGCATCATTGCCTGATACATATTTATTCTTGGATCTCCCACAAACACCTCATAATATTCCCAAAACAGTTCATACACAGAGTCATACACTGAGGGTCAAAGATCTGAATTTAAGATTCCGACATTTAATAAGATGGTGAACAGGATATTTGACTTCAGTTTCCTCATCAAATACTGTCTTGAAACTCCATTTCACCAATATATTTAACTACTAATCATCTCTTCTCATATGCATTATTGCAATAACATTCTAATTGAGCTCATTTCCACCTTTACTTCACTGAAATTTATTCTCGACATAGTAGTCAGAATTTTTTTTTTAAAGTAGGTTAGATTTTTCTCTTTACTCAGAACCTTTCAGCGGTTTTCCATCTTGACTCTTACTAAAGCTCAAGCCTTCATCTGCTGCCTTCAACCCTATATTTATTCATTTCTTGACCTCAGCTTTTTCTAATCTCTTTTTCCCCAGCCATTTTGATTTCCTTAGTGTTTCTTTAAATTTTCTGGACACCCTTTTGCCTCAGGTCCTTGGTGTATGACCTTTACCACATGACCTTTTATTCAAACAGATGTCACCCTTTCCTTCCAGAGGTTTTTATTTCAGATGTAACATTGTCTGTGATGTATTCTCTGACCACCTTAATTTAAAATTGTATCTCCATCTTTCCAGCCTCCAATTTTTTTTTTAAGATTATTTATTTATTTATTTATTTGACAAACAGAGATCACAAGTAGGCGGAGAGGCAGGCAGAGGGAGAGAGGGAAGCAGGCTCCCCGCCGAGCAGAGATCCCGATGTGGGGCTTGATCCCAGAACCCTGGGATCACGACCTGAGCCAAAGACAGAGGCTCTAACCCCCTGAGCCACCCAGGCACCCCCCAGCCTCCAATTCTATTTTTTTTATATTTTATTTATTTATTTGATAGAGAGAGATCACAAGTAGGCAGAGAGGCAGGCAGAGAGAGAGGGAAGAAGCAGGCTCCCTGCTGAGCAGAGAGCCCAATGCGGGGCTCGATCCCAGGACCCTGAGATCACGACCTGAGCCGAAGGCAGAGGCTTTAACCCACTGAGCCACCCAGGTGCCCCCAGCCTCCAATTCTTAATCTCCATCTCTGTTTTATTTTTCTCCATAAGGTTTTATCTTCTAATATACTATACATTTAACTCATTTATTTTATTTTTGTTTCTATCCTCCCACTAAAATTTAAGTTTCTTGGTGGCAAGGATCTCTGTATTAAAAAAAAAAAAGAAGTATTCCCAGTACCTAGAACATAGTAGAAACTCATTAGTGATTGTTTAATAAGTAAATGAATGAGTAAATTAAGATGGGGGTGGTGGTGGTCAAGTGATTTAGAGACAAAAAAAAAAAAAAAACCAACAACACTATAAACTATTACACCTACTAGTATTAATCCACTGCCCCCATGACCGGGCTTATAAGAACATTACTTTTTTTTTTTTTTTTTAATATCCGTATATTTTATCTTTGTTTTGAGATGCCATCCAGTCAATTTTTGAGGCTACTTAGAGACATATTTGAGCCTTTCAACCATTTGGTCACCAATTTTTTTTTTTTTTAAGATTTTATTTATTTATTTGACAGAGATCATAAGTAGGCAGAGCAGCAGGCAGAGAGAGAGGAGGAAGCAGATTCCTTGCTGAGCAGAGAGCCCGATGTGGGGCTCGATCCAAGGATCCTGGGATCATGACCTGAGCTAAAAGAAGAGGCTTAACCCACTGAGTCACCCAGGCGCCCTGGTCACCAATTCTTAACTCTTACCTCACTTGCAGCAGAGTCTCCATTTTGGTCCCCATTACTTCAGTTCAATCATCAGGAGCTTTTCTCTAGACAAATTCAATAGTCTCCTGACAGATGACTTTGTACAATATTTTATCATAAATAATCTTTCTTAAGTACTTTCCTATGACTTCAAATTATCTACAGAATGTTTCCTATGGGAATCAAAGTCCTTCATTCCTGACTCTGACCTATGTTTTTGAGATGCTATTTTCCAACACCATAAACAGTTCTTTATGGTCCTTTTTATTTCCTTATACTTGTAATAAGTACTTATTGATTATTTACTGAGTCGGGTATTATACAATGGTTTTTAGCAAGGCACCATCTCTTTCCCCCTATCCTCACAGCAATTTGTTATAGTTTGGTAGGTAAGAAGGAAGGAAACAATTTAGCATCTCAAGATCATAAATCAAATGCAGAATAGCTATAGGTACAATGAACATCCATTCTGATTTTTCTGGAATAAACTTGGTTTATACCTGTTTCCCAGTATAATTATTAACAAGCCTTCCTTCATCTTCAGAACTCTCCCAGTTTCATGATAAATTATATGGTCTCCTTGTCTATAAGCAAAACAATTTGAATTTTACATTAACTACAAAAGTTATGTGACAGCCTAAAACAAAATTTAAGTCCTCCTCCTCTAGCAGTGGAATATACTTATAAATATCACACAAACTGTTTGGTGAAAAAAAAATCAAGATTCTATAACCTGAATGTCATTTTAATTTTAGAATTTTTTTGTTTGTTTGTTTCAAATGCAGTTTAGTAATTAGTTCCTTAGTTGTATTTTCACTCTGCCCTCATCTGGAATGCCCTATATTTACTCTCCATTTATCCAAATCTTACCCATTTTTAAAGTAATGCTTACATCTCCAACCTATTCTTTGTTTCTGTCTCCATCTCTATCTGTGGTTTGTTCTTTTTTTTTTAAGATTTACTTTTTAAAGATTTTATTTATTTGAGAGAGAGAGAGAGACAGCTATCAAGAGCACAAGGGAGGGGGACAAGTGGAGATAGAGAAGGAGACTTCGCCCTGAGGAGGGAGCCAGTCATAGGGCTCCATCCCAGGACCCTGGGATCATGACTAGAGCCTAAAGCAAATACTTAACCTGAGCCACCCAGGCACCCCTGTGGTTATTTATTTATTTATTTATTTATGATTTTATTTCTTTATTTGACACACACAGAGAGAGAGAGAGAGAGAAAGAGAGAGCGCACCAGCAGGGGGAGCAGCAGGCAGAGGAAGAGGGAGGGGGGAGAGACAGGTTCCCCTTGGAGTGGGGAGCCTGATGTGGGGCTCTATCCCAGGACTCTGAGATCATGACCTGAGCTGAAGGCAGACACTTAACCAACTGAGCCATCTAGGCACCCCTGTGGTCTCTTCTTTCAGCAATTATTTTCTATATCATTTATTTGTCAAATTGTTGCATAAAGGTACTTTGTTTCCTCCTGGACCTATTGGCACAAGCAGACAAAGATGGTGACTTCTACATTTTTGTAGCTACTATTCTAGAACCAAATAGAGTATGCTCAATCAACTTAATGCAAAAACAAAACAAAACAAACAAACAAACAAAAAACCCAGCTATGATAATAGTGGTAATAAGTAGGGTATCGATGGTGAATTTATGAAAAAATATAACAGGATAAAATAAAATAATCAGAACTTTCAGGTAATATTTATAGTTTGAAAGTGGAAAAAATAGTTATATACCCACAAGTTGTGTATATGTTTGTGTGGGTTTGTAATACATATTATTGAAAATTATGTTGGGTCAGGAGAGAAGAGGTTGAGGGAGACAAAGAAAAAAATATTCCATACTTTATCCCAATGTGTGGAAAATGCACCATCATTCTGTATATTACTGGGGAAAAAAGTCAATTAAGTTATGGCCTCATGCTTTCCATGCTTTTGTATCACTTAGAACTTTTGTTTGCTACATATTTAAAGACCTACTTACTAATAGATTTTTTATCTTGAATCATTCCTGTGTATACATAACAAAAGTGTAAGTGATATCAAATGGCTAAGATTTGATATGGCTAGCACTTCTTCATATTCAGAGATCATCAACTGTAAAAAAACATTCCTAGTTCAGACATTTAAAATATTAAAAAAGTAAATATTTTATTGATCAGATTCACAGTGTATAAATAAGTGTATTGCAAAAACAAAACAAAACAAAAAGACATATGATGAGTTTACTAGGACTTGAATAAAGACTATAGATCCTAAATATTCTGAAGCCATTGAAGAAAATGATGTGATTTTTGGATATGGCCAATTATAAAAACACAAGTTAGAGCAAAACTTTTTGGAAGTTACTATCACTTTTGCTATCCAGTAGCAGAAACTATCATCTGGGAACTTGTAGGAAAAAAAAAAAGAAAAGAAAGAAAGAAAGAAAGAAAGAAAGAAAGAAAGAAAGAAAGAAAGAAAGGAAATATTATGATAATGGGTATCTAATTGACATAAAGACCTGTAGCCCCAGTATTAGGATGGATGATTAGGAATTGAATTCTCAGAGATGGAAAGTAAGTACAATATTTCAAGTTTTATTTCTGATTTTTCTTACTCTTAGAACAGAGGAGGAAACTAAAATTTCTGTGGTCAGGAATGTCTGCTTTGAATCAACAGCTGTAAAACCTACTGGCTGTGATTGTCATATGCCTTATCCAATATGACCAAAGTTCTAGTCATAAACACAAGAAGAATTCTTAACTATTTTCAGAACAGATTGTGTGAGACTGCAACATAGTCATTTTTATCAAAATTGTGTGCTTGAGCTGAGTAGCTAAAATTGAGATAAATAATTGGTTTAGTTTTGCTGCTGAACAGAAAATGTGGATCACACTCATGGACCTTTTATGTATTGCTTTCCCACATTTCATCTTTGTACTGCTCTTGTGTTCATGTTCAGATCATTCATATTTTATTTCGAAACATTTTCATTTTCAGATCAGCAATTGTGTGATCCTGGTGAATTTCTTTGCCACGATCATGTGACTTGTGTCTCCCAGAGCTGGCTGTGTGATGGGGACCCTGACTGCCCTGATGATTCAGACGAGTCTTTAGATACCTGTGAGTAGAAAGGTTCTCATGCCATTCAGATTTACCTTACATGTGAAACTAAATGTCAGTTGTTTTCATGGATGACTGCTGTTCTAGTTGCTTCTTTTTTTTTTCTTTCCAAATAGCCTAAGAAACTTGAAACCTTTTGTTTGTGTTTCCTTTAAAATGACTGTGTGAATGAGACCGTAAAATGCAGTTTTGTAATGTGAATTAATTTTTGAAGGGAAGAAAATGCAAGGTTAATTGTTTCAATGTGATTGTGTTACTACTAGGAAAAAAAAATAACTTGAGGAGGAAAAAAAATCCTTTAAAACATAGCACTCAGAGGGAATAAGACCCTTTCCAATAATTTATTTCACCCATTTTGAGACAGAAGAGCATGTAGAAGGAATAGTAAAGTAATCAAGTTGAGCTCCCATATTATTTCTATTAATGTCTTCTGGCACTATACAAATTATTGAACATGTTTTCTTATCTGAAATGGCAAGATAGAAATTATATTTATTCACCCATACAGGGAGATTCTTTGCCTTTATAATATTAGATTCAGAAGCCCTTCACACACATGGATCCCAACTGTAATCGTACCACTGTATCTAACTTGAAGTCCACTGAGGGCTTTGCATACATGAAAAATGCTGCTAATGCAAAATTATAAATAATAGGGCCATGGCTAACTCTGCTACACTGGTTTTTTTTGTTTGTTTGTTTTGTTTTGTTTTTGTTTTGTTTTGTTTTATACCCACTAGCATATGGAGTATGAACAATCCCCTAAATTTTAATATTGATATTTCTAGCACTTCTAGTTTGGTCTGTATACTCCCTGCAACCAGGTGTGACAGCTTATCAGTATTCTCAAAGCAGCTACATGGTGTTGTTGGGTCGAAGTGGAGGAAAAAAAAATCCATCATCCTTAGTGCTTGATATTGTAAGAAATAACAATTACTGGTTCCACTTTCCATTTTTATTTACTTGTTTACAAGTCTTGCAGGCAGGACCAATATAAGTTTTGATGAAAATCTTGCCATTAGAAAGCAGAGGCAATGATTATTCATTTTCTTTATGTTTGTCAGTGTTTTTAAAGTTTCTCAGCATATGGGTTCTTGATTAATTTGCATTAATTGCTCTTTCCTTTGAACAGATCACTTCTTCCATAGGAAGAGGTTGTAGTTGTTTACTACATTTGTAATTCTCACCAGTTTAATTCAGAAAACCTTTACCAGACTCTCTATAGCATAGGAAAGTTTCTTGGCATGATAAAAGAAAAAAAAAATAAGTTAATGGGGAAAAAGCCCTAATGGATAAATAAAATGTAGTAAATCCATACAAAAGAATGTTATTTGGCAATACAAAAAGAATGAAGTACTCATACATGCTACATGGATAAACCTTGAAGACATTTTGCAAAGGAAAAGAAGCAAGTCACAGAAGTCCACGTATTTTATGATTTCACTCATTTGAAAGAACTCAAATTGGCAAATCTACAAAAGTAGAAAGTAGGCAAATGTTTCTCAGGGCCAACTAGGGCTGGAGGCAATAAGAATTGACTGTGAATGAGTATGGGATCTCTTTTGAAGGTGAAAATATTCTAAAATTAGATTGTGGTATGTATGCACAACACTGTTAATACATTTAAAAACAATGACATACATATTAAAATGGGTGAATTGTATAGTATGTGAATTATATAATAGTAAAGTTGTTTAAACATGAAAAAGCAGGAAAAAAAATCTCAATAGTATGGCTGTGGGTGCAGATGGCATAATAATGAGAGAAGACAACAATAATAAATGCACCGGGCATGAAATATATGTGGTGGGACCATCCCCTATTGAAGTACCATCTGGGAGTTTTCTCCTTGTTATCTCCAAGGGAGGGTTGCCATGACACAATCAGAATAAAAAGTTACATTTTTGAGTTCTGGTACTAGAATCTTGTGTTTCTGTCCTGATCCTTCCACAAAATTGCTGGTGGGAAAAATGACAGAGATGTGAGATAGCTTTGTGGAATGCATGTGCAGGAAGGCCTTGTTAAAGGGAACAATTCCATGGAACTGTGTACCTGACACAAAGCAAAAGCAATTGAGAAGACATGGCTGGAGAGCCTATAAAGGCAGGAGTTTCCTTCATGCTGATGAAGAATAGAGAATAATGATGTTCTTTTTGTGCTAAAGAGGGAGTTCAGTAGGAGACTCAGACTGGAGATGTGTGTTGTAGAGAAGACTAGCAAGGACCTGTGTGACCACAAACAAAGCCCAGAGAGGAAAGAGACCCTGCAGTGAACGCTAAAGCGAATGGGTGGCAAGTATCCCTCTCTCCTTCCCATGCCCACTCCATGCCTCTAGGAACATGGCGCATAACCATCAGGGCTACACCGATGGATTAGACCCGAGTTTGCCAGCCGGCATCCACCCTGATTGAGTGGGCATTTCCTGTGAATAGTAGGTGTATCCACCATAATGTTGTTAAATATTTGAATGCCCATCCTGCCCAGAAGGTAGACAGCACCTAGGGCTTTGGAAAAGATACGTCCTTCCTTCACAGAAATTAGGGGCTTTAGCAGCCTGAAGCCTTAAGTTAGAAATTACATGTGGTTTCATTAAAAATAGAGATATACTTTCTGCTTTCTTAAAATATTTTTAAAATGAATTCATACCTGCTCAAGATATTTTTGGCAGTTTTTAAGTATATAGTTATTTTCCTCTCCAATAAAATGTGATGAATTCTATTTAAAAGTATTTCCTCATTTTGGCTGTTCTTACTCTTTTGACATCAAAATTGCTGAACATTCTTAAAGAAAATGTTAAGACTATTCTTATATCAGTGTAGTTACCTAACAAAACAGAGACATGACTATTTCTCTACCTGGGTACTTGATCTGGCAACATATTTTGATCTACATTAAATTAGCCTCTTCCAGATAAATTATTTCAGTCAGTACCCATTGAAATATGGACAAGCATAGAAAAAAGCTTTATGAAAAATATCCGAGGTTTTCAAATTTAAATTTCTCAATCCAGATGTTCACAATTACCATTTCCTCTAATCATAGTGCTTTGTAATGTGTTGTTTTATGACATTCATATGCAGTCATCACTGATGTACATAAAATAATTGCGTAATTTTATAATTATATGGATGCATACATTCAATGTGAAGGATAAATACTAGAAATCGAAAACCTTGAAGACTGATTCTTAGGAAGGGCAATTTTGTGCTCAGTGTCTGAACAAAAGTTTGTTATCTTTGATTTGAAGACAAAGTGTGTTGTATCTACAAAATATTAGATGAAAACAGCTGATGCAATACACTTTTCGAGGAATAAAAGCTTTACTTGTAAAATGCTGATGATTGAAATACTTTAGAAGACAAAGGTACATGCAGAAAAATAAGAAATTTTGAACTTAAATGAAATTTAAGTATTTGGGGATCTGAGGTGTTAATGTGCACATATATTCCTCTTCTGTGTTATTTAGACTCAAGCTCTAGTGAAAAAAAAATGTAAAGAAACAAACAAACAAAACCCAAACCAGCAAAACCAAAAAACAAAACCAAAAAGATCCCAGACTTTTGTGGGAGGTTGGTTTACCATTAAGCTAGATTGTATGTTGGGATGTTTTCTCAAATATGCAGTTGGAGAAATTTAATAATTTATATTCTTACATTGGATGTGAGAAATGATTCATTAGCCTTCTATTAAAAATAAAATTGCTTATTTCCCCATATTATTTGAAGTAATTTTTCAGGGTCTAAATGGCTGATCATCTTTAGGTTCTATGAGGCAATGAGAATAGAAAATCAGGAAAATCACCATCTTTCTACTCAGCGCTTTCAATCCAGTTGTTAGTCTAGCATCATTGTGTGTGACAAGAATTAAAGTGAATGGTGATCATGTTTATTTATGGAATGAAAGCTTAGCACCACCTGTGGCAGGGAAGTCTTCTTGAAAGGCACTTTTATTCTGAGGTATTCAAAATTTAATTCCTTCTAGGATTTTCTGTTCAGTGCTTAATGACACTTCCTTTCCAACAATCTGCTTCAGCTGATGTGTGATGTTTTCTGCCAATCTGATGTTAATATACTTAAAACTAGATTCTCCTTTTTTAAGTCAGGAAGGTAACAGTTTTACTGTTTCTTTTCCTTCCCTATTGCCCTACACTACCCCCCTCCTGATAGTAATTTAGGCTGCCCTTCAATTACATATCATACTTTGGATGTAATGACTCACCGGCCAATAAAGGAGACTAAAAATAGCCTTAAAGGAGGGTAAGAACTGCAACCTGGATAGTTGTGATCTGGGCACAATGACTCTATCCTGTCCCTCTGAGGAATCAGCAATCTTTTTTCGGTAAGGGACCAGATTGTAAATATTTTAGATTTTGTGTCCTATGTGATTTCCATGATGTATTCTTGTTTTTTATTTGTCAAACCCTTTAAGATGCGAAACAAAAAACAAACAAACAAACAAAAAAACTTTCTCAGCTTACAGTCTATTCAAAACAGGCCACAGCAGGGATTTGGCCAGCGGGCTGTAGTTTGCGGACCCCTGTTGCAATGTCAGTTCTGAACTATACCCACTGTTCCTTACGGAGCTGGGTCTGTGCTTGGGTACCGCTGCACAGCGAGCAGCACCACCCCTCACAGTGGACGTATGTGGCACAGAGCTACGCGTGTACCCACCACCTCATGGGGCCAGACTCGGGCAGTATGGTGTCATCTACGGTAACTGGGTTCTTTTTCCTATGTTTGCATATCACCATATGGGTTAGGATTGCATTTGATGTGGAGCAGAAACAGCCGCTTAGCCAGATAGGGATTTGTTGTTCTTCTATAAAAAAGTTGCAAAACACCATCTTTCTGCTCTGTCCTCCCTAGCATGAACCTGTCAGTCTTAGAATCAAAGCACAACTACTTCACCTCTGCCAGTCGGTAATTTCATTTCAGGCAGGAAGAAGGGATGGGGAAAATGGAAAAGGGAAGTGCCAGTCTCTCTGTATAACAAAATATCAA